TGAGTCCATGAGAGAACTTGACGAGTCGGATCGGGTTGCCCCGCGATTCGTGACCATTGGTAACCCGTTGAGTTGGGAGGTCAGCTTTACGAGTCGAGTGAGGTATTAGAAGGATTCAGGGTATACACATGAACTCCCTGAGTCAGCGAGTGCACTCGGCGAGTCTGTTCAATTTTGACCATTGACTGGGGTTGACTTCCGAGGACCTTAGGGTTTTGGTCAACTGATTCAAGAGAGGCCATGGAGGGGTAGAATGGTATTCTACCTATCCTTTGGAGATGAGAGCATAAAGAGAGTATTGATTTGAGATGTTATCAATGCATAGGTGAAGGCTAGAACGAGGATATCAGGCACAAGAGTTACTAGACATCTTACAAGGTGAGTCTTCTCACTATACATTACCTAGAGTGGTATCTATCTGCAGACCGGAGGGTCTTATGTGTACGTGTATGTTTGTGATTATTTGCAATGTGTTATATGTATGATATGTGATATATAGACCGGACCAGACGGTCCAAAGACTAATGAGGCCAGAGGGTCCTCGATCAGACCGGACCGGAGGGTCCAAAGAGCTAGACCGGACCAGAGGGTCCAATGAGCTACGGGACTTGAGGGTCCCGTCGAGACACATTGACCGGAAGGACATACTGATTTATAGCCTCGAGTGGTTTATGTGATGTATGTGGTGTTTTGGTCCATGACTAAGACCAAAATAACACCTAATCAATATCGAATACTCTATACTTGGGGTAAAATGACCTTTTACCCCTGGCCTAATTTGATCCATGACTAAGACCCAAATCCACAATATAAAAGGCCCAACACTAACTAATCTTCCAAGGCCCACTTGTGGCCTAATTTTCCAAATTGGGCCCAAACCCCTCCAATGGGCCTTACCCTAAAGCCCAATAATTTCCTTAGTCCAAAAGCATGTTTTCAAATGGCCCGCTAAGGCCTAAAGCAACTAGATCCATGAAATGGCCCAAACCGAGGCCCAAAGGAGCGAAACCCATTCTGATTGAGTACGCAGGGTGTACTCAGTTGTACGTTGTACGTACACGCTTGATGAATTGTACGTTGCACATACAGACTTGTACGCCAATCGTACTCCTCTATTAAGCCAACTTTTTCCATTAAGCACTTAATTCTTAGCCCAAAGGTCCAAACCATAGATCTGAGTCCTAATCAATTTCTAGACCCATAAAGTCACTGACTTGGTGACTTTGCATGCCCAAATGAATCCAAACTCAAAATATAACATTCTACATTCATGAAAATTGCCCTAACTCATGCATTGATGGATCTAAACCTCAAAAATGGAAACTTTATGACTCAAGGACCAAAATAACACTAAGAGTGGAAACTCTAAGCTTCAGAAATGATATGAACTCATAAGATCTTGTCAATGGGACCAAAAGGGTCCATAAACCCAAACCAAAAGAGATCTAAGTTAAGAAGCATCAAGTTCAATACTTTTTACCTCAAATGAGTGCCAAATGATGATGGGGTTCTATATCTATAAGCCTTCACTCCTATAGTGAAGCTTCAAGGATGATCACCTTCCTTCAAAGCACCAAAATGCACCTCAAAATGGCCTTCTAAGCTCAAAAACACACAAGTATGGAATTAGGGTTCGAGTATAGGGTAAGGAGGACAAGGAGGCTGATAAAATGAGGGTTTCAAGTCTATAACGATGCTTAAATAGTGGCCAACCTTGAAAATTAGGATTTTCAAGGTCTTAATGTATGCCCCGTGTACACTTTTATACACCCAGTGTACACATCTGGATCCCCGATCAATACCCTTGCATGAGTAGGCTAAGCATACCACGTGGTATGCCCCGTGTACTCGCTTCACCATTTGTATGCTAAGCGTACCTTTTTGTACACCTCGCGTACAACTCAAAGGTCAAAATGGGACAAATTTAATTATGCAAGGTCAAAAGAGAAACTTACCGAGATTCAAGTGTTACAAAGTAATTTTCCATCTCATATATAGATTTATAACATATAAAACTCATCACAAAAAACCAAGATCTAGACTTTAAATCTCAAAGGGACCAAGAATGCATCTTTCTAAACTAAATCCATTATGTCCAAGTCTCCAAAACTCATATCTGAATCAATATGATGTTAAATAGATAAACTTTCCAACTTTATCCATTATAAGGCCACAAACTTCCAAGATCTAAAACCCTGACCAAAAACTCATCATTCTTTACATATGGAGTAAAGAGAACTCTTGCATGCACTCTCTACTCCACCAAATGACCATATATTATCCCAATATCAATCAAAAGCTCCAGAGCTTTACACACTCTATGGAACAAGCCACTAATGGACCAAAATTCATTAAATTGGATGAAAACTCCATATATTCATAGATCTGAAGATAAAACATAACAAAGCTTAGAACTTTATGATTGAAAAAGGTTTAGGATGTGAATGGAGGTTGAATGCTTTAAATACATAACTTCAAAGACCAATCTTTCTTGTTCTTCTTCCTTCTAGAGAAAAATACCACTAAAAGAAAGCACCAAATGACCATTAAGAGAGTACCAAAATGGATTTAGCAGAGAGGATGAGTTCCAAACACTTTAATAGAGGCTAGGGTTTCACTGGAGGTATCTAGATGAGGTGGAGTTTGAAAATGACGAAGTCCTTAGGGTTAATGGCCTTTAAATACCCCCAAACACTACTAGAAAAACAGCCTTTTACGACGCTCATTGCGCGTCGTAAAACGCTCAGATGACGCGCAAATGCGCGTCAAGGAAGGCCCTGTCATAAAGAGAGATGACGTGCTTTTACGCGTCGTCTATAGACGACGCGCATTTACGACGCGCATTTATGAGGCGCATTTACGACGCGCAATGCGTATCAAGGAAGGCCCTGTTATAAAGGAAGACGACACGTATTTGCATGTCGTAACCTTACGACGCGCGTGTTTATGACACGCATTGCGTATCAAGGAAGCCCCTGTCAAGAAAGGCCATGTCATAAATAAAGATGACACACATTTTTGCGTATCGTAATTTTATATGTTTTAAAAAAAAAATTTCTAGATTTACTAATTTTTGAATTAAATTTTATTTAATCTCACTTAATAAATAAAATATCATATACAAAAATACAATTCATTGCACAAAATATAATGTCATACAAATAATCGTTCCATGGAAAGATAAAACAAATCAATAAAAGTTATAACGGAAATTTACAAACTAATTAGATACAAGAAATATGAAAAACTTGAAATCTCTAAGATTAATAATTCTAGCATAAGCTTCACGTGAGATACATACAGTTGGACCAGTAAGCATGGATGTTCCCGAATCCACAATAGCAGCAGAAGAACACGTACACGATATCTTTTGCAAGAAGGTGCCTGTCCAAAACTACTGTTGAAGGTTGCCATGATAGCTGTTAAGATTTAAGCATAACAAGAAACCAATCAGTGACTATAATAAGCTAGAAAACAAGCAACTAATAAACAAAATAAGCAACTATTTAAGTCAAACTATGACTATGTATTGTTCATGCAAGAAAAAGAAGGAAAAAAATGTTGATTTATTGTTGTTCATACAACACTCTCCAGACAACACTTAATTGAAGAAAAGAATAAGGCTAAACTTACAAAGAAAAAGAATTCAGGAAGAAGACAAGTTTGAAAGCATACAAAATAACATTTAGCCAAGCAAGTGTGATCTACTAGTAAACTTGAAAATGCAAAATTCTGAGTAAATGCCCTAAATACCCTCAGAATCATTAATCATAATAACAAGTAGCAGACCTTGTAGGAGGCAATGCAGAGGTCTGGCCAGATGGCATAGCATGATAAGCACCATCCATTGTGATATAAGGTGAAGCAGCCAAAAGCCCCAGCAGCACCAGCCAAAATAGGTAGCCTACAACAAAATTTCACAATTTTAACCATTTAATCACCTAACTATTATTATCTTAAATATTTATTTACTTATATATATTTAAAGTACCATGTCATTTCTGAATTCCCCATTCCATTGGGCTGAGTAACGTAGCCAGGGAATGCCATGCCAACAGCAGGAACTCCAATATTAGTTCATATATTTGTTCGTATCATTAGTTCATTAATTACAATATTATAATTTTGTAGGTTTTTCAAAGTATGATCTCTTCATGAAAAAAATATTGAAAGTAGGATGCTATAATAAACAAATAAATGAAAGTACCCCGCTATTTTTTGCATTTATCCCAGTTAACTCAATTACCTTCAATTATCTTGAGTTGCATCCTTTTTAACAATGTTCCATTTGGATTTTAAAGCTTGAACGCATAAAACATAAAGTGAAATTTAAGAAGCAACAACAGATATACATTTGTAAATTTGGTATTTGGATCTAGCAACGAAATGAATAATGTAGTTGGTGGTTACCTTTAGTTACTTGAGATTTGTGTAACGTGCCTACCTGTTTCACTTAATGCAACAGCAGTCATAACTTTCTTCCTATATAAACCAACATCATTTCATGCCCATCTATATCTGCTCTTCTAAATCAACTTATCTTCACCATTGCTAACCCAAACAAACAAAGCCACAAACAAAAATTAATTATACAAACATAGATTCACAATTATAAAATAAATTAAAAAACTTTACTTGAAATCAACACCATAAGAAGCACTAAGAGCCATGACACGACTTGGATGGAAAATAATAGCAGAAACTATAGAATCCCTGTAACCATCACATATTCAAAAAATGTTATACCTGAAAAAAAATCTATATACATATTAAATAAAAAGGATTTTATAAACAGCAAAAAAAACAACCTATGGGGCACATATATAACAATAGACAAGGTAAAATCATTGTTGTGTGGCCCACATTCCCAAAACTTGTGTGTTACAAAACCTCCTATTCCTTGTACATACATTCTGGTTTCAACAGTACCCATCACAGGGCCATAACACGAACAACAGCAACTTCTAGACTATTAGCACCATGTCATTTGTTAGTATCTGCTATTTGTTCATGGTGTTTAGGCGAATGGTGGATGATTTTGTTTCCAAAATCCACTTTTCGTAATTTTCAACCTAAGAAATTAGAATTTGATAAGAGAATATAAAAAGTAAAGTATATAAAAATAGTAATAGAAGACTATTAGTATCACCTCAGCTAGCATCTTTGCACAGAAATCTGGGTGGAGCATATCGAATGTGAAAACTCCTGTAACAAGTTCAGACATTAGGTTTCTGATACTTTGATTTCTGCTGACATCATCATTAGCCATGAATGCGTTTATGAAAGAGGGCACAAAGAAGCTTGAGCGAATCAGTTCATATAGTTCTCTATGAAGAGGCTGAAAACCAAGGAAAAGGAAATCAGTGATTGCTGATTATACAACATATAAAATATAAAATATATATCAAATATATTACCTGATAATTGTATATGATTCTTTCCCTGTATATGTTGTGCTTCTTAGCTTGTTGAAAGTGATGAAAAAAGATGGATTAGTTATTAAAATAGACTTTAACATATAAACTTCAAGTCATTTAAGACGATTAAGGAAAATTTCTTACTGTATTTCATTCGTTATAATGGTCGATAATTAGAGAATTTTTCTATATAGGGAAGTATTATATTAATGATATGAATTCTAAATTATTGTAGGTTATTGAACTCATATGAAGAAAAAGGTGCTTAACAAATGTAATCCCTAGCCTTTTTACATAGACTTGAATACAATCACTCTATGCATAAACATTTTGTCAACTTTATGTGTAAAGCACTAATTGTGTTTGCTTCCTAAACAGAAAAAACACAGGGAACATAGAAATCACTGGTACCATGATTTCCTAATGCCCAAATGTTGACAATAAATTTGGTGCAGCATGTGACAATGCAACTGCAATAATCCTCATTGCTTCTAATAATCACAAGGTCCTGCTCCACAAGAAAAAAATAAGAATTCTAAATGTACAAATTCAACCCTTTTCATGAATTGTTTTTTGACTTCAAATCAATATATTATCTTCGGTTGATGATATCTAACAATTGGAGTTAAAGTTGTAACATATTTTGCATTTAAATGGTTGGATATGAGGAGTTATAGAATGACGTAACTTACAAAAAAAACATTTATTAGTAATAGCAAACTGTAATAAACTAATAATCACTTTAAATGAACATACATATAGTACTTAAGGAGTTAAGTCAATGGAGTACGAGCTCATGGGGTAATAACTTGAAAATTATATTCAGGAATCTTACCAGCTTCTCTACATTGTCCTTGAAGGCATTTCCTTCAGCTGCAAACGTTATAAAGCTTCTGTATTGCTGGAATGATTTAGCAACACTGCCACCAAATAATTCTGTTTGACTTTTGAGTTTTGACCAGAATTTCAATTCAAAACCCCCCTTTGAAGGAATCTAGACTACTGCAACAGTTTGAATGTTTTGACAGAAGGGTCCTCTAGTAGCACAGAGGACCCCTCAGTGCTTTTGAAAAGCTAGTGTAGTGATGTGGAGTCAGAGTTTGTTAATAACTGAATTTTATAATGTCAATGAAATTCGACCCGAGTGTATGCATTATTACTAATTTTATAACAACATAATGGTTTTTAAATTTCTTTCCCATACTATTTCAATTCATATATAGCTGCCAAAATCAAGAATAAAAAGTGAATACGAGAAGAGTACTAAACATATATATATATATATATATATATATATATATATATATATATATATATATATATATATATCAATCTATTGCTTATGAATTAATAATGGTTATTAATAACCACTCACAAATACTTTTTAATTCACAACAGATTGTTAGTCTTATAATTTTTATTGATTTCATTTTACAAAACTTAATTAGAAACCGGGTACCCGGTATCGGAACTGGTGCGGCGGTTCCGGTTCTGGTTCCAAAGTTTCAAGAACCGGCGGTTCCGGTTTCGGTTCTAGACAATTAGGTCGGGTACCCGCCTATGCTCATCCCTACATCTTACAATCATATATGGAAATAAGAATTTGTTCGGCGACTCAATAGATATTTTATTACAAACAAGTAAAATATCATTAACCTTTAACTTCATATGTCTGGATCCTTACAAGGCACAAAGCAGACATCAAGAAAAAAAATGTTAACATCTTCCATCATTACTCTATCCACTTCACAGCTATGTCTAAACTGCAAAAATGATGAGAACTTACATTTTATCGAACATTTGGTAGGAATATGATCGAATCCACTTTGAAGTTGTTTATTTGTAGCATTTCTAAACTGCAAAAACGATGAGAACTTACACTTTACCCCTTGATCCAAACAAACATGTTTTTTTTCATAGCACAAATCTTGTAGATATTTACCTGAACCAAAGAGATAAATATTGTTCCACAACCATTGGAGATTTTTATTTTATAAGACATGAACATATGCTATAATCTCGAACTCCACTTACGGTAATGACCAAACTACCCTTGAGCCAACATCAATCACCTCCAACCCACATGCTGCCACGTCAGTAGCAACAAGAATTGGAGTCTTCCGACTCTTAAATGACCTCAATGCCAACTCCCTTTCCTATCAATAAAAAACAAAAATTAGAAATTAACTTTTACTCATTTTTTTAACTTTAACTCTAATTTTTTTTACCGGTTGTGTTTTGTCTCCATGAATTGTAGTAGTGGGAAAACATTATATAAATTAAAAAACTATATATTAAAATGATTCAAATTAATAAAATAAAATTAAAAACTTGGATTTCTCTAGGAAAAGTGGCACTGAAAAGCATTGTTTGTCTTCCAGGAGGTGGAGGCATGTCTGTTTGTTCCACAATTTTTCTTATGTGAGGCTCAAATCCCATATCCGACATATGATCAGCTTCATCAAGAGCTAAATACCTTACCATTTGTAATGACACTTTTTCCCTTTCAAGTAAATCAACTAATCTTCCAGGTGTTGCCACAATTAAATCAACTAGCTTCATCTTTCTTTCGCGTTCTTCTGTTTCTTTGCCTTGGTGCACAAGGTGCAGGGGAGTAAATCTACACATTTAAGATAATAGAAGTAGTGAAATTAGTATACTATAAATATGATCTTACCCATTACTATGAAAAATTATTTTATCTCTATCAATAAATATCAATATCAATACCTACATCTCACATGAATGGTGTCAATGGAAGGGAAGAAGTAAGATGTAGGCAGCCCCTGGCCCCTGAGTGGATGATCTCTTTAACCTATAGGATAATGATTTTGTCTTCTCTTAGATAATAAATAATAACTACAATCCCATATACATTAAGACATGTATACTGAGTTTCTTGGACTTTGTTGCTCTTTCTGCAAGAACTTTCATATCGGTACCACTAGTTTGAAACATAAACAAAAGTCTGCCTCAGTTTCACCTATTGTGTCTCTGTTAACTAAACTAATGCAACTGAAACACTTGTACACCTCAATGAGTGAATATCACACATAGACATGACAACATCCACAAACACTCTATAAATATATGATCTCATGCATCACACTAAACTGGAAACAAGGTAAAATCAATTAAGTTCTTGTAGTCTAAAAATGATACTCAAACAACTTTGGAAAGATCTATATATAGCCATAGCAGGTACCTTGAGCTGTAAATTTCTCATCAACCAATGAGATGTCAACAAGCACCGATCCATTCTGTAGAAGGTTCCCAATTGATGAATTTAGCATGAATGATTCTAAAGGCGATCGGTACCCAGGACTCCCACTCAAAGTAATCTTCAATAAACTGCCATTTTTATGGGAGGATTATTCATTTTTCATATACTTGTGTGTATGTATGTGTTTCTGTGTAGATGAAATTGAAGAGAGAGAGAGAGAGAGAAGATTACCAGATGGGATGATTCTTAGCCTTACAAAGGTTTCGTGCTCTGGTTCTTTTCTAAGAATATCAATAGAATGAAAGAAGATTAACTTCAGTAGATAACAGAATGTGTGTGGATGGGTCCGTTTATCATAATCAAAAAGCTCTGATCTTTCTGGTAGTATAGGACCTCCAGTCTCTTATGAAAAAAAACCCTAAAAAGAGAAAACACAATCGATCCAATAATCAGTGATTTTGACCCAGGAGGGTTGTAATACTGATGATATAGAGGTGCAGAAAACAGCTTCAAAAGCGTCATCGTCTTCAGGGTGCAAAAACAGGAGAAGAAAAGTAGATAGACACCGCCGATTGTGCTTGGAGAGATGATCATTCGGTAGGAGCATGGCCGATGGGGAAGGACCGGTGGTCAACGACAAAGGTGAGGAACGAGATGTTTGATGAGACCGATAAGAAGGAGGTCAGGAGTAGCGGAGAAGCGGATCGGAGAGGAAAGAGATGGACCGAGATGGGAGAGTCGATTTAGAAGATGAATGATAGAAAAAAGGTAGAAGGCAGGTTTTCAAAAATTTGGGGATTTCGTTTCCCGTCTAAACACGCGTTTCATTAAAATTATAAAGCGACAGGTACAGAGGACGCACGTTTAAAAAAAGTGCCCTCCGTGTTTTTAATTTTTTTTTTCTTTAGACACTAATCTAAGGGCACGCAATAATGCGTGACGTAAATTATTAAATTTTTTGAAGAGATGACACTATTTTAAGATCACTCTCTTTTGCGTAACATAAATCAGCGCGTGTCGTGGTTTGCACGTCGTTAAAGGCTATGTTTCTAGTAGTGAAAAACCCTAAACAAGCATGCAGCCCACTGGGTCGGGGGCGCTCTATGCTCTTAAATGGCACTCTATGCTTTCCGATTAATTCTTGATTTTCCATGTTTTGGCTTCAGCTTCAAACGATCATAACTTCTTTTTTCTGACCCGTTTTCAGTGACCTTTATATGCATGCGAAGGTATTGACAAGACCCACAATTATGTCCACTTTACTTTTGTCTTGAAGCATATATAACTTAATTTGTTAATACATATAAAAGTACATAATATCACTTTTCCTGTTTTACGCCTTTGGCTCCAACGCACAATTCAAGGACTCAAATCACTTAACCAACATTATCAGCATCCAATAAGGTTTGAACTATATTCCCTTGAAGCGCGAGACCTTTATTCAATCAAATTATATTCTGCTATCTCAAAATCAGAAACATCCCAAAATTAGACGTTACATTTTTTATTAAGAAAATTACTTTACGGACTCCAACAAGCCTCTCGAAACTGATATCGAAAATTTACTTCAACCTTACTAAGCATTGGTTTTAAGAAATCTCGTGTTGATCACTCTTTTTTTCATCCATAAACATGAGAACGCATACGTAGCAACACTTATCTATGTCGATGGCGTAATTATTGTGAGTAACAATGATGATAAGATACAAGAAACCAAAGACTATCTTGTTGAAAAATTCAACATCAAATATATTGGAATTTTGAAATATTTTAGGGCATTAAGGTTGCTCGAACTTCAGATAGTTTTGTTTTAATTCAACGAAAGTATACATTAGACATCCTTCAAGGTAGTGGGTTACAAGGTTATCGTCCAAGTTCTTTTCCTAGGGAACAAAACTTGAAACTTGAAAAAAGTGAAGAAAGTCCCAAAGACTATCTTGTTGAAAAATTCAACATCAAATATATTGGAATTTTGAAATATTTTTAGGGCATTAAGGTTGCTCGAGCTTCAGATAGTTTTGTTTTAATTCAACGAAAGTATACATTAGACATCCTTCAAGGCAGTGGGTTACAAGGTTGTCGTCCAAGTTCTTTTCCTAGGGAACAAAACTTGAAACTTGAACAAAGTGAAGAAAGTCCCAAAATTGATGCAAATTGGTATCAACGTCTTGTTGGAAGACTTCCCTAAAGTCACGAGGTTGGATATTGTATATGCTATCAACATTCTTAGTTCATTTGTTGTTGGTCCACCAGGATGCAACAATACGTGTCCTTTGTTATCTTAAGGGGACACGTAGGCAAAGGATATTTTTTCCCAAAGCAGGAGGCTTAAACCTTGTTACTTTCTGCGATGGTCATGGAAAACGAAGAAATAATTAGTATTTTCTTGTTCTTCCGTTGAAGCTGAGTACCGAGCCATGACTACTACAATTAGTGAAGTTCTCTTCTTACAATGGCTTTTAAAATACTTAGAGGCAACTCCTATGGGCCCCACTCCTTTTTTGCAACAATCAAGGTGAATGTCATATCGTAAATAACCCGGTGTTTCATGAACGCACAAAGATGTTCGAAATGGGTATCCAGTGTCGTAACTAATTGGTATAAGTTTGGAGATGATAACAAATTCCTTTTAAGGTTGCCCTTAAAAACTAAAATAGCTAGAAAATGATTTGAGAGAGTGATATAAATAGTTTATTAATTTATCATAGATTGATAAATTAATTAGAAATTAGTTGAAATTAATTTAGAATTAATCAGGAAATCATTTAAAGGTACAAAGACTGAATATTATTTGTTCAATATTTGAACAACTGGAATGTTCTGGAACCAATAGGGTTAGACGAATTTAGGGATAAATCCCTTTATGATTTTCGTCCATTGCTGCTGCTGGTAAGGGATAAAAATCATCATACTTCCTATA